GGCCAGATATGTCCAAATCCTCACAAACACTGTCGACGTTGGTGATTCCCTCATCTGATGGGTGGGGAGGCTAAAAATCAGAGAAGGTGAGAACCTTGTCTAAGAACACACAGACACAATCCTAATCCTAACCCTTCTGGAGGAGAAGTAAATGCTTTTCTCATCAACCCCCCAGTGGCTTTTGCAAGGACAGAGTCCCTCCACCACAGACCTCCACAGGCCAAGCTCTCCTGGTCTCCTGCCCCATGTCCACTCCAAACTCTCCCCACCTCCCCACCCCCCACAGATACTTAAGTAATGGCTTTGGTGAGAACCGGCTTTGCTCTCCAATCATGGGCGGGAGGCAAAACTGCCCGCTCAATATTTCCTCCTAATGAGCCTCCGCACTCCTGTTGCCTTTGAGGAGGGAAGTGAGCTCTCTGCCACCGTCGCCCTCATATTTATCAGCTCTGTTTACCTGCGGGGTGGCAGAGGGAAGGAGCAGCATTATACATAAATATCATGAAATCCACCGAGGGCGGCAGGCAGAGCACTTAATCCCACCTCCGTCACTAACGACTTAGAATCTGAAGAAGTCACTCTCTCTCTGTTTTCTCTGTCTCGAAAGTAAATAGAGGGTAACACGCTTTAAAAAAAATCAATTGATGTTCCAAAGGAAAAGGATGTGTGAGGGCGGGGGTAGCATCTCCATGCTGTACTGACACGCACTCCCTAGGTTCTGGTAATGCTGGAGAGCCTGGTCCCGCCTCACCTGTCTGCTCTCCTCCCAGGCCTGGGCATACTAGCACCTCCTGCCTTGCCTCCGAGCACTTTTGCCCGCTCTCCTGTTCTCCCAGGCTGGTTGGTCCAAGGCATGTCCAGGTGAGTCATTTCTGTTGACACCTTCCTTCCGGAACAATCCAACTTTTCTGTTTTGGATTAAAAACAAAACAAAACTCTGTGATCCTGCTCATCCTAGGGACAGCTCAACCTGTGTTGGTGCTCACAGTGGGGCCTGGAAGTGCTCGCCTCCTTGCAGAAGACCGTGTATAACCCAGGAACCTCACCCAAACCACCCAAACCACAGAAACCTCCCCCGGGCTGCTTCTGAAGCACGAAACAGGGTCATATTGAGACCCCAAGTCTGGGGAGACCCCTCCTGAAAGGAGCAGGACAGCCGGGTGTGTGTGTGTGTGTGTGTGTGTGTGTGTATGTGTTGGGGTGGGGAGGTATTTTGAACACTGGATCCGACATGACTCCACTTGTGTGGCCTCCCCAGTTCTCTCTGTAGGAAGAAGAGAAGTAGCCAAAGGCTTGGAATTTAGCACAACCGGTTGAGTGCTTGCCTGGCAGGCACACAGCTTTGGGCTTAAGCCCTATCACCTTAGCACACACCTGTAATCCCAGCATCCTGGAGGTTAAGGCAGGGGGATCAGAGATCCAGGGTATCTTCGGCTACGTCACCAGTTTGAGGCCAGCTTGGGCTGCAAAATACCTTGTCTCAACAACAACAAAAAAGGGGTAGCTGAGGGCATGGCTGCTGGCCAGCTTCAGGAAGCCCCAGAGCTTGTGTCAGAACAGGACAGGACCTTGGACAGAGCCTTCTCCCCATTTCCCAGGGCCGCTGTGCTCCGCGGGCTCTCTCAGGAAACTCTGGCTGGGTGCTGCAGGTATCCTCAGAGGTTAGAAGCTCACTGTTGGCTCATCATTCTCTACAGACTGTTGGCCACTGTAGGGCAGGAGCTGCGCCATGCAGAGGGAAAACTTCCCTGCTCACGTGGCTGAGTCCCTGTCCTGGTCACTGCAGAGGAAAGGCTCCATCACTGCAGAGGAAAGGCTCCATCTCTGAGGGTCACGAAGGAGGTATGTCTCAAGTGTGCCAGCGACTCTGCCCACCTTCAAAGCTTCAATGCTACCTTCATGCTGAGGACTTCTCTGACCTCCCCATTTCACGTTACAACCCTCATCCTGTCTCTACAGGGCCTCTGTCCTCCTTTGCTCTCTCAGCCCCTGACAGCAGGTACTATTTACCTGCTTCACCCAACCTCCTGCCCAACCCCCTGGAACACGAGCTCTGAGCATAGACATCACTCAGCGGGAGGGTTGGCACACAGCAGGCACTCACACACATTCAGGACAAAGAGACCTGACGTTGGGGAGACGGTTCACTCAGCAAAATGCCGGCTGTGTAAGTGTGAGGACCTGAGTTCAAATTCACAAACCCATGTAACTACCAGGCACAGACGCACACATCTGTAACCAGTGTTGCTGGGGTTGGGGAGAGGGAGACAAGTGAGACAGACAGATATCCGGAGCTTGCCCGCCAGGCAGCCTGGCTTCATCTATGAGTCCCAGGTTCAGCGAGAGACCTTGTCTCAAAGTAAGGTGGAAAGGGACAGAGAAGACCCTTGACCCTTGACGTTGGCCTCTGCCTCCCACCAATACAACCTGCACCCACAGTTTCACCGTGAGTGTCTGCTCACGGACAGCACATCTTCAGAGGGATAAAGCACTTGCCAGCCTCCCACCATGGTGTCTGGCCCCAGGAGGAAAGAAGAGCCACATTGACTCTCCTCACTGGCTTCTGTTGCTTTGGACACAGGCCCACGTTCCTCCCACCCAGGCCCCTGCCGACCCACCTCCCTTGGCTTCCTTCCTCAGCACGCCCTGGACTAGTCCTCGTTGGCCAGTAGCTCCCCCACTGGAAGGCTCCAGAGACTCTGCACCTTCCGTCCTTGCTGCTCACAGCTGCGCCCCAAGATAGCCACATGAGGACTGATCTCGGTGTCAGTATTCCTTCTCCTTGGGGTCCCATCCAACCCGGCCCCATTACCCCGACTCCCAGCTACCAAAGCTCCATTTTATCATCTGTACTGTCTGAAAGGATCTTATTTACCGGCAGAACCAGTTTGCCAGGAAACCTAGCCCCATAGGCTCAACACCCAACCCCTGTGCCTTCTCCATGCATAAAACTCAGCTGATCTCCATTCCCACTGCGCTCGCCAAGGCTCCTCAGCGTGGTCAGGCACGCTCACTCATTATGCCTTAGACCGGCCAATTTGAAGCCTGTGGGTCTGTTCAAATCTCCTCCTAGGAAGCGGAGGGAAGCATGCGTCCTCTCTTTCTCTCTCTGGGGTGCCACAGGAGTGGCACACTCCCCAAGGTCCACCCTCGGTCTGCTTTTGTCTGCTGTAGTCTCTGTAGATTTGGCACGTCTGTGCCCCTCAAGAGTAGGAGGCAGCCATGACCCCTTCAGCTGTCAGCTGAACAGTCCCCCCCTGGCCCTTTTCAGGTAGGAAGCAGCTTTTGCCCAGTGCCACACGGCTTGAACATGGCTCCTTTTCGTATGTCCCCATCAGAGCTCTCTGCAAGGTCCCTGGTGTTCTGGGAAGTGGGAGCCTCCCCCACTTCTCAGAGTCCTTAGAAGCAAACCAATTGCAAGGACCGTTCCTGCGTTCCTACAAGGGCACCTATACCCAGCCTGCAGCTGGCACCAGCTCTGCAGCCTCCCTGGCCTCTAGCAGGGGAGCCTAGTGCCAGTAGCTCTTACTGGCGGAGGCTTTAGCCGCAGGACTGTCTGAGGACTTCCTTCACTAGGATCTTTATTCTGCCTCCGCCACCTTGATCTCACAGAAGGGCAGAGTGGGAAGCAGAGGGGTCAGAGGTGGCCGAGGGCAGCCACGGAGGCAAGTGACCTTTACGACATGGTTTCTGTAGCACAGGCTCTCTGGCTAGATTCGGGGTCCCAGCAACCAGTTTTAGGGCGATGGGAAATGTTTCCTGTTCTCTTGGTTGTACATTGAGGACCTTCCGTGGCCTGGCATTGCCAGTGTCTAGACGTGTGTTTGGCCTGTAGTCAGCCCTCAGCTGTGGTTTTCTGTAGTGGCCATGGTCAGTGCACGCTATGGAGATGTGAATGAGGGAGGGAGATGTGACGTGTGGGTGCTGGCTGCCGCTCTGTGCCTGGATAGCCAGCACACAGTTGTCTCTCCTTCCTGTGACCTTGGCAAGAGGCCTGACCTTCACCCTCTGCAGGCAGCATGGCCTCCACAGCTCCTGCCAAGCTCAAGGGGAGGAAGGAGGGAAACTAGGAGCTGCTGGCTCCGGTGTCGAGCGTTCTGGCTCTGCTGCCCCTTGGCTGAGCTTAGTTTTCTCCTTCCAGCTTGTCATTTGTAAAAGTGGGATATTAACAGACTCCATGCTGTAAGGACAGAATTGGCGGATGCATGTAATGCGCTTAGCTCATGTAGAGATGGTGCTGGGTCACCAGCAGCAACCAGAGCCACTGTGGCCGTTATCACAGGGGCACGCCAGGGGCTGTGCGTCCCTAGCTAGTTCTGTTGGCCTGACACACTCTCCCATGATAAAGTGGTCTGGGGACGGGAGGTGACAAAGCTCTGTGGGCCAGGGGGTCATGGAAGAATTAGGGATCCTCAGGGAAGACTGATAACCCTAGGAGGCCTCAGGTGCCAGGCTGCAGCCACAGCCCTGGTGTGGACAGGCCATCGCTGGGGCGTGACAGGGTGAAGTGGGGTTTCAGAAGGATTAAACTGGCGGCAGCGATGGCGTGAAAAGCAGTCCAGCTCAGTGCACAGGCAGACACAGCTCCAGACACTGGAGCGGATAGAGGTGGCCGTTACAGGAAGAGACCAGCTCCCGGCTGTCTGTGGGTTCTCAGCATTGTAGCTGGGAGAGGCTGGCTGAACCCTATGCTGAGCAGTGGGCACCCAGGGAAGCAGGCAGAGGTCACTGTCTTTCCCAGGGACAGGAGCCCCCTCAAGGAAGCGTGGTGCTTGGAGATCCTCCAGACAGGGGTGATCGCATGTATTGAGGCTGTGGCAGCTCACAAGTACTTCCAAACCAGCCGGGGATTTGCCTTCTCTCTTGAAGGCCTACAGGGGGCCTGCAGAGCAGGCATGTACATGGAGGGCAGAAACAGGGGTCAGGTGTACCCTGTGATTGGTCAGGGCAGCAGTGGTTAAAGGCACAGCCCCAACTAAGAACGGAAGCAGACACTGCTCTTCTTTCTCCCTGTTTTATTGAAAGCTGTGGCGATATTGAGGAGCTCCGGGTGTTTCCGTCTTCTGTCTCCTGGAGAGATGAAGGTCTCCCGGGTTCAAGGCAGCCGAGCCCAGCCTAGCCAGCCCTGTGGGACAGTTCACTGTAGCCTCACACCAGGGTATGGAATATGTCCACCTTCTCCCGGTACAGCTGGTGGAACAGCTTGGCCAGACAGTGGAATGGGGCTTCGTAGTTGTCCATCTCCTTCTGTGGGGGAAGTGAGGGGGCCGTGAGTTTATGATCTGGGGAAGCTGGGCCCCTGCTGCAGGCGCCCCTCCCTTCCGGCTCCTGACACTTGGGTGTCCAAGAGTGTCTAGGTGCTGTTTGGGCAGCTGCTGTCACAAAGCAGATTTTACAGGGAAACTGAGCTCGAAGGGACACTTGGACAACTGCATGGCAAGGGAACAGTGGGGCAGGGTCTAGGCTGAGGTCTATCTGTGGAGATCCTTGTGGCCACTAGGGTTCTGTGTGGAGGGTGTGAAGATGAGTCCCCTTACTTAGCTTTGACAGGGGTCCAAAGGCTGAAGGAGAACAGCAGACAGATGTGTTACAGGGAAGAACCTGGCCGTAGCCTGCCCCCAGGAGGGGAGAAGAGGAGGACAGCTACAAGGGCAACAAGGCACAGCCAGGGAAGGCAGAACACACACAACCGCCTACTCGAGATGGTAGGCTGCAACAGGGACCTTCTACTCCAGGGACCAGTCATGGGGTAGGAGCAAGGCCAAGTGGGAACAGGAATATCTGAGAGGAATGCGCTGAGACTTCTGGGATGGTGCCAGATCCCAACAAGAATGAATGGCTCCTCCCGTGGGGGGTGGGGAGGGCATCTCTGACACCATGGCAAAGCCGGCTCTCTGCTGGAGGTTTAACAGGGGTCCCTGACCCCCTGGGCAGCACTGGCTGGGTGCTTGCCTTACATGACTAAAGGTGCCCATTTCTATTTCACAGAGGGTTGGGAAAATTAAGAAGCCTGCCCTAGGTTGCACCTGAGAGTGGCCAATGGCAGGCCCCCCAAGGTGAGGTCAGAGGGGCTGTCGGGAGGAAGAGCACGCACACAGAGCACCCTCCTGACATCGTGGCCACTATTCACCTGCAATGCAGGTACCTTTATTATTTTTCCTGTGTTCCTGTCCCCAAGATTTTGTATGTGTGTGTGTGTGTGTGTTTTGTTTTGTTGTTGTTTTTTTTTAATCAGGCCTAATGTTGCAACACCAGGGGGTGCAATGCAGGAGCCTGTATCTCAGACAGCTTTTTTGTTTGGTTTGTGAGATAAGGTCCCTTTCACCTTGGGTTTCTGATCTGCCTGCCTCTACCTTTGGAGTTCTGGGATTACAGGTATGTACCCTGGTGCTGGTGATCAAACTCGGAGTGCCCTGCATGCTACATAAGCACTTTCCACCTGAGTTATATCCCTAGCTGCCATCCATCATCACCACCACCAACATCACCACTGTCATCATCACCGCCGCCATCATCATCATCATCATCATCATCATCATCATCATCATCATCACCGTCATCACCCCCAACACCATCATCATTTTAAGATAGAGCCTTGCTACGCAGTCCAGGCTGGCCTTCAATTCTTAATCTTCCCACCTCAGCCCCGCAAGGGGTAGGATTACAGGCACACACCACCATAGCATCCGGGCCTTAAAAAAAAAAAAAAGGAGATGCAGCTAAGACCGTACAAGGGCCTGTCTGAAAAGCTTTTCAGCGGCTGGCAAAGGCACAGCCTCCATGAGAGGCACTGAAGTGTCTCTGATGAAATGGGAGGAATATCACAGAAGTCAGTGTGGCTGCACTCTACGGAGGAGTGGATGAAGCCGGGAGCGTGGAGTGGCCTAGCTGGACAGTGTATCCCGATCCCAGGCCGGTAACTTTTATATGGTGTGGCCGTAAAAAGGACAGAAGCGCAGCAGGCCTGGGGAGGGAGCTGCCTTAATTCCCCCACAGCAAGGGAGAAAGCAGCAGGAGCAAGCAGGGGAGCTGTTGGCCAAGAAAAAACAGGGCCCGGTGCCAGGAGCGTGCCGGGAGAGGTGGTCAGTGTGCGGCCCGGTGTGAGCACCTGTGCTAGGCTCCACACAGGCGCGAGGGCCTCTGCTTGTGTGGCTGCCATGTCCCAGGCGGTCAATGTCACCGAATGGCCCCACCACCACCTAAGTGTCCTTAGGCGCCGAGTGGAGGGAAGGAGGCCTGTGAAAGCTCAGTGGGAGAGTTTTTAGACCAAGTCAAAAGCTCTCCAAAGCATTAGCTGGGAGGACCCGTCATAAAACGTAGGGAACTTAACGCCCAGGAGCCTCCACAGACACCATGGAGTGCCTGGAAATAGATGGAAATTGAACCATTTTCCAAACGCATTAAGGGGGCCCGCCAGCGACAGAGCCCTTTTATCCGATGACTAATTATCATCCTGCGTGCAGTTTGAACACTGACAGAGCGGGCTGCCGGGAGGCGACGTTTGGAGTAGACTCAGGCAAACCCTTGGTTTGACTTAAAATTCTGTTGCCGAGGAGCCTCCAAGCAGGTCAGGTGAGGGGTCAAGGGTGAAAGGCCAAGACCTGAGCCTTCCAGCTCGACAGGGCTGCATTCTGGTGGGTTCTATTCCTCCTGTACGAGGGGGGAGATACACAACCTCTCTCGAATCCGTCTGATGACTGAGCAACAGAGCCAGGAACAGCTGCCTTGTCAGGTTGCTGAAAAGGTAATTTGTGCAATCCCAATCAGGCGTTAGGCCCTCCCCATGGACAAGTGGACTTGGCCTCGCTCTGGCACTCTATAAGCCATCCCTCCTTAGCCATAAACGGTGGGTTTTGAAAATTCTTTAAAATTTGTTCAAAGAACTCCTTTTGGACTTTTTTTTGGGGGGGGAGGGGATGGCTAGAAATGTCAGATGCAGAGGAGCGTTTAAGGGCCAAGGAACTACGGCAGTCTCTCCCTTCGGAGGAATGGGAGGGGGCGTGGGGCTCGGCAGCATCTCAAACCACATTGGGGTTATGTTCCCTTTTTAATTACAGCTTTCTTAACCGAGCCGCCAGTGGCGCTCCTGTTAGCGGCAACTCAGGGGGGACTAGTTAACTCGCGCAGTTAATACCGGGCGCTCAGCCGCAGCCTCTTCAAGCAGAATTTATGCACAGCCTTCCTGACACCTGAAGGGAGCTGACCAGTAGCCTTGGGTGGGTGACTGATGTGTTGGGGGCAGGAGATGGGGGTGTTGGGGAGGGGGGAGGTGCTACTGATGAAGGTAGAGGAGGAGGGGATGGGGAGCTACTGAGAGCCGGGGGTAAATGGCTCAGTGCTCGCCCAAAGGTGTGCGGCACGGCCCAGCCTGGGAGCCCTGAGTAGTGACAGCTCTCTCGTTTGGATTTCATTAATCCAACATTGTGATAATTGGACTCGAGGCATCCATCTCTGTATCAGCCACTTGTTCTGGGATTTAGGAAGGAGTAACAGTGAAAACGCCGTACTAGGAAATCACTTGTTTTAAAACACCAGCGTGTTGAGCGTTTACTGAGAGCCAGACTTTGTGCTAAATGTCTTACATATGCATGATGATCAGCAAAGGGCAGCTTCCTGTCCCCGTATTTACAGGTGAAAAGCTCAGGGTCCCACGGTGGACAGCGCATGCCCATGGACCCAGAGCCAGGTCAGCTCCTGGACCTCGGAAGGCAGAACACTCAGCCTTAAGGCTATGCCTTGTCTGGGTATGCATGGCCCCCAATAACCTCTTTGGAAAGCCAAAGAATTGGGTCTGGAGACCCTAAAGTGAGACCTCATGCAACAGAGCCACTGCAGGCCTAACAGGACTCCCTGGCAAGGCTCCTGAGTGAGGGCTGTGGCTGCGTGTGAGGGTGTGGCATCTGGGCCGTCCCCATGCCTGTGGTGGAAGACCCAGAAGGGGTATCCAACCTGCATGGACAGAATCGTGTGTCCGGAAGTCACAACTTTCAAAGTTGCAGATGTTAGAAGGCTTCTGTGTCACTATGCTGGACAGCCCTGATGGTGCCAGTCACCCGTCACCCCCCCTCTAAGAGGGTGCTTACATCCAAGATGACACTGTATGTTGCTATGGGCATGAGGAGCTGGGGCTGGGCGCGTGCTGGTCATGCGGGCCCAGAATTGGGAATTGGGAGCCAATTCCTCTCTCAAAGAACTATCCGGTAGGCTCCTCTGAAACCAAGAACCAAGGGTATGTGCACCCAAGGGTCAGGGAAATGGAACACCTCCCACTTCAAAGTCTTTCCAAGAGAGATGCCCGGAGCTCTGCCCAGGGTGGACTGTCTGCCCTCCTTCACAGTGCCACACAGAGGACTTTCACAACCTATGCCGAGCAGAGGTCCTGGGGAAGATGTGAGCATCGGTTCTGATTTAGATTCTGCCTCCGGCGGCAGGACCACTAGATGCATAGAAGGTCATGTGAACTCCAGCACGGAGCTCCACCAGGTCAGTGGCTCAGGGGGTGAGGGTACTCACCACAGACGTTTCAAAGAATTCCAGGCCTTGGCCCAGTGCCCATGCCTGGGCCTGTGCAGAATCTACTGTGCGTCGGCCAGTCAGGTCTGTCTTAGTTCCCACCAGAACCCCTGCTCAAAAGAAATAACCGCAGGGTTATGGGAGGTCGGCTGCAGAGAGAGCGGTGTGTGATGTATCAGGCCCACACTTGAGGTGGTGTGTGCCAGTGGGGAAGGTCCCCAGGGGCCACAGAGGACAGACTGGCCGTGGCTGTGCACACGTAGCTCGGTTCAGAGTTGTCTCATGGCTTCAGATATAACTATGCTCCTCACCTCCTTAGGGCTGTAAGCGCCAGGCAGGCCTGGGATCAAGTTTAGAGGGGCATTTGTGCTAATTCCCAGCACATGGAACCAACATCGGACGTGCTCATTAATGCTAATCTCGGGCCTGGGCTCAGAGTCAGGGACTCAGGTAATTGAGCTCCATTCCCAGCTGCCTCGGCTGTGCTAATTTCTCAGCCCGTCTCTGGAGGCCGCTTTCCCTGGCCTCTAATGAGGAGAATTTGTTGATCTCACACAGGGATGAGAAAGAAACTGATTGAAAGCGTGCAGGAGTGGCAACGGGGCTGGAATGTAACTTGTGCCGAGAACCGGAGAAAATGAGGGATTCTTCCCTAGAGTTAGCTTTCTGGAAACGTCAATTCGGAATACAGCACTTTCCTCCTGATTGTCTCGGCTCTCCCAGCTCTGCCTGGTGGGTGGCACTATCTCCCCACACCCAGGCTTGGGGCAGCTTTGAAAACCATGAAGCAGCAATGCAAGGGCACCTCGATGGACACTGAAGTCAAAGACCAAGGGATTCAGGCCCTTGTCCTGCTCCCAACATAGCTTGCGCTGTGAGCTGAGGCCCCTGAGTGGAAGGACGGAGGTGTGGCTGTAAAAAGGGCTCTCCACAGTTCCTACCTGGGAGGGAGGTACCCGGAGCCTGGGCCCGGACCTTCTCCAGCCACTTGGTGCAGTTGGTGAAGGACTGCTCATTGGTCACATCATAGACGAGGCACAGGACATTGGGATTTTCCCACTAAGCATGAGACAGGAGAAGCACATTTCAGGGATGTGACAGGGACTCCTGGATGGGGGAGAAACCAGGCTTTCAGAGAGGCAGGTGATGGGGGTATGTGAGCTGGGAAACTGTCAAACACACTCACAGATGGCCGCAGTGCACCACGGAACAAATGGAGGAGGCCAGGCTCAGTGGCACTCATGTGGGACAAACATTCCCACCTGGGAAAGGGAACCTTGAACCTGGGTGAGGGGAATTGCTACCCAGAAGAGGGCAGTGGCTACCAGGCACCTCTCCTCAGGGGCTGCCTGTGCAGCACTGAGATGCCCCAATCAGCGAGGTTGTCTGGCAGAGTCTCACTGTTATGACTGAAGAAATGGCTCAGAGCGTGTGTTAAATGGCTGCATCTGACAGCTTCCAGGAGCAGTCAAGCTGCTGAGACGGGGCTGTTTACCACCCAGAAGCCCTCTCTTGTCTCTCGTGGTTCCACTAGTTCACGTACCACAGTTCTTTTGGGAGCCCACCACCACGAGGCTATGGCATTCTCCTAAACTGCAGGCCGCAAAGAGTGCACCTTCCTTCGCTGCCTAGTCCTTGGGCCTAGGTCTGCCTGCATCTTCTTCATAAGGGTGGGCTTTTCAAGACTTGGGGACATTTTTGGCTTCTTCCGTGGCATTGCCACCAGCCTAGTGCACACTACACTAACACCTGGAGGGGCCTCTGTCACCTAGTGAAGAGCCAGGCTTCCAGGCTGAGGGCTGCGGACCTTGTGGATGGCTCAGAGGCCCCAAAGATCCTACTACCAGCCTGTGTGTGATAAGGTCACAGGCTGCCCCTGCCTGGGCTGTGAACGTTCCCTCCGGTGCATGGGGTCTGGGTACTAGCCCCCTGTACAATTAGGCCCTGTTTTGTCTGGGGTGTCAAGTGACCTTGTGGGGCCTGCCAAGACATTCTAGTCTCCTTGAAAGGCTCGCCCAGGATGGGCTCTGGAGAGCTTGGCAGAACAAGACCAATGCTCTGATCCTTCTATAGGGGAAAGGGCAGAGCCTCGGGCCTGGCTCTAGGCCTCCGTAGAGGGGAAGGGATCGGTGGTCCTGTCCTGGGAGGCTGGGGGAGGGCTGAAAGACCCTCAGAAGGGGACATTCAAAACCAGTAGGCTTGCGGGGGTTGGGGGCGGGGAGCAGCTTCAAGGACTGACCAGCTCCACGGCTCCTTGTACATTCCAGAGCAGGAGGTGACCGTGATGGGCAAGCAGGAACATCTACCTGCCACGTGGCTCAAAGCCCCAGCTAGGAGGGATGCCCCTTGAAGGATCGTGCCTGGCCACTTCCGATAGTCCCAGTGTGTCACCATGGGGAATGCCATGGGGGAGAAGGGTTGGGCAGAAGTGGGTGGTGAAGGTAGGTAGGGGAAAAAAATGACACACTACTCACCAATTTATCCAGCATTTCAGAGAACAGCTCCTTGCTGGCTGAGTCAAAAATGAAGAGTTCCTGGAACCAGAAGAGTGCGTGTCAGAAGAGAACTTGGGGAGAGCCAAGCCAAGGTTTGCCCGTTCGGCTTGGGGTAGATAGAGTGCACCTGCCCTTGCATGGGTGCTTTCACACATGCTCTGTCTCCTCCGAGGCTCCAGAGAGGTGGCGAGCACAGTCCAGGGTGCCCGGGAGGCAGAGGTCTAGCTTCCATCTACCTGCTGTGACCTGGGTGGTAGGTGGCTCACCTTTCTCAACCGTAAGCACAAAAAAACAAAACAAAACAAAAAACCATGGGAGCCAGCTGCCTGCCCACCTGGCGGGACAGACCGCCAAGCAGTCTGACAAGCGTTCTGGTGTCCAGAAGGCCGCTGTGTGCTTTGTTAACCAAACGGACTCTCAGGTCGGATAACAGTTCTTGGCAAAGGAGGTCACGGATGAGGCCCGGGCAAGACGCTTAAAGTAGGACGGCCTGTCGCTGCTCTGAGACCGAGAACGTGTGCTCTGGCCACAAGGCCCCCAGCCTTCCCAGGCCTCTTGGAGGCCCTCGCTAACGATGCCGCTTGCCTGGAACCCCCTCGGAGATCCTGAGCCCCCTCCTGGTGTAGCACCTCCTTCCTGGCTCTGAACCCTGCTTGCTCTATAGCCTGCTCTGTACAGTGGCTCCTGCCTCAGCCTTTCCTGTGGCATCAGGGGACCTGCTTTTTGCTCAGGGGTCTCTTTAAGAACCTGATAAAGCCAGGAGAGGTGGAGCACGCCTATAATCCCAGCACTCGGGGAGGCAGAGGTAGGTGGGTCTCTGTGGGTTTAAGGCCAGCCTGGTCTATAAATCGAGTCCAGGACAGCCAGGGCTACAGAGAGAGACCCTGTCTTAAATAAAACAAAAACAAACAATAAACAAAAGAACGTGATGAATGCAACAGACCTTCTCCCTGGGAGCAACCAAATGAACGTGACATGAGACATAAGATTTGTGGGAGTCTACAGAGGGATCCAGTTAAGAACTCAAGTAAGGACTGGAGAGATGGCTCAATGATTAAGAGCACTGTCTGCTCTTCCAAAGGACCCAGGTTCAATTCCAAGCACCCACATGGCAGCTTACACTGTCTGTAATGCCAATTCCAAGGGATCTGATGTGTTCACAATAAGGCACATAAAATAAAATTAAATAAATTGTTGAAAAAGAAAAGGAACTCAGATAAAAGAAAGACACCAAGTTCTTTTCTGGTAAGGCTGCCATCCCAATCAATCCCCCAGAGCCCTCCCTCAAAGGTTCCCTGTGTCCCAGCTCCATGTCCCTTGCAGGGAGGGAACCCAGCCCCAAGTGGGCTTCAGGGCGCTGTAACTCACCACACTGTCATTTGTGTCGAGAACTGGCACTGTCTTCACCACCAAATCCACGCCTGCTGTCTGTAGGAGACACCAAGATCACAGGCGTTAGAGGGCCCTGTGGTGGGGTGATCCCAGGATGAGGAGAGGCCCCAGCTCACTGAGGGAGCAGTCCCAGCCAAGCAGAACTCAGAGGCCCTGAGGACTCCCAGCTCCCTGACCTCCTCCAGGCCTGGCAACCATGTGATATCCTGGTCAGTCCCCTCTGAAGACAGTCCCTTGCTGGTGGCCAGCAGAAACTGAGTCTCCCAGGCCTCTCAGGGCACCGTTCTAGGGATCACCCTCTCGCAGTCAACCGCCACGTTTCTTTACGCTGTGGCCAGGCGGGGACTCTTCGGCCCCAGCTCACCAGGGTATAATTCTTCTGGAAGTGGGTCCCGTCGCTGCGGAACATCTGTACCAGGGCCGTCTTGCCTACAGCTGGGTCTCCTGAGGCCAGAGAGAGCGGAGGAAAAGTTATCACTTGGGTCCCATCAGGCACGAGCACCCCCTTCTAACTCTGGAGTGCTCACCTCGAGACCAGAAGCTTGGCTGAGCTTTCAGAGCAAATGTCTGCAGCTCCCGTGGGGACCAGGCAGGTCGCCAGCAGGGGAACTGGTCTGGGAGTTCTTTAAAGCTTACCTAGGCCACATACATCCACCTCACAGCCCTGTCAACCGGGGCTGTGACCCACAAAGGGACAAGGGTTAAGGAGGGTTCGGAGCCCTGGCAACGGAAGTGACACATCTTCTGCCAAAGCGCAACCCCTGTGGGGAGACCTGTCACGTTCAAACCCCAATTTACTCGAGAGTCTGGCCTGCAGAAAGAAGGGAGCGGCGGCTCGGGACCCCACCCGGCTGAGCCCCACACCCGGCTGAGCCTCTGCCGGCACCCTCATCTGCACTGACAGTGAGGAAGTTGAGAGGCTGCACGCGCTGCTCGAAAACTCATTTTCAAGTGAGGCCCTCCATCTCCGTGTGCCAGGTGAACACTGACCTGCCAGGCTTAGGAGCACCCACATGTGCTAGTGTGCGCGCACACACAAACGCACACACAAACACACACACACACACACACACACACACACATACTCCCCACCCCCTACAGTCATTTCCTACAGCCACTTTGCCCAGCTGAGCCGAGCCCTTCCCTTTCTGCGCTGCCCCTGGAAACCTGCACATCAGAAAGGTTCCTGTCAGTTTTCCAGCCCAGATCCTGGGTCTTTTCCAAGACAGGAGGGGGCAGTTTCGAATGGGGCTCTTCCGGGCCTGTCAGCGGGGGCAGCTCAGGGTGCCCTGCTCTCTCCGCTGTCCCTGCAGCCTTGACCTCTGCTGACTTGGCTGCTTTACATGGTCAGGCAGCTTTCCCGCCTTGAGAGCAGGATACTGATGCTCACTTCGTTGCTCAGGAGTTTTACAGGACACCTGCTTTCTGCTTTCTGCTCCTTGGGCACATCACTGTCACTACCACCACTGCCCCCGCCCTTACCCCCACCCCAATTCCCAGTTTCTTGACCCCCAGCATTTGGGACGGCCTCCGCCTTCACCCTGATTCACAGCGGCTCCCTTTGCCTGACTCCTCCAGTCCGTGGCTCTTGACATGGCTGCTCCTGACTTTTTCCCCGCCTGTGATTTTCTCTTGTGAGGCAATTACATGACAGCTTGTGGTGCCTCCGTGTGGGACACCTCTGCGAGGGCTGAGTGAGCCATTCAGGACTTGGTTTCCTGCTGGTGCTTCTCAGAAGAGAACAGCCACGGGCCTCGCCCTCCTCACCAACCCTTCACTTCCTTCCCTCCCGTGCTGTGTCCCCACTGAAGTCACAGGTGAAGAGAGCCGGGCTTATCCAGGTGACTGTCTGGGATTTTAACACTGCCTTGCTTCACCAGGCCCATCTGGCTGACTGTCCCTCCCTGCCCCCACCATCCTGACTCCCATTCTGCTCCTAAACCTGGGAGGAAATTGGCTCTTTCTCCCTGGGAAATTCCCACACAGATTGGTTTTGGTTAATTCCAGGAATCTTTCTGCTGACTGCCAGTCACCAAGGCTGGCAGTAGAGCTCCTGTGTGGGCTACGGGGAGGGATCCGAGCATGGAGAGGCGGGGGAACTGATAAACAGCCTCTAGGAGCAACAGGATGACAAGCAAAAAGCCAGACAGCACAGCTGAGAGGCAGAGCATCGGAGGGAACTCGAGAAACCTCGAGAGCCTGTGAGCCCACATGCTTGCTGCCTACAGGGTTCCCTGGGGCCATGGCCAGGGCTGGAAGACCAGGCTGCCTTGGGAAGGCACCATTTGGGGCTATTCATGATCTCGTAAAGCCTGGTGGCCGCTCCTGGGTTCTCACTCATGAACTCTCTAGATGGCGTGGTAGCCGCCAACAGACCCCTGTTGCCCCACACCTGTTATGTGGCTGTGGTGACCCTGCACAGGCCCTATTTCGTCACCATTGCTAGGATCTGTCCTCTGTGCTCTGATCTTGTCTCTTCTGCCCCAGCTACCCACACCTCAGCTTGGGATTAAGCCGAGGGCCTCATGCGTGTGAGGCAAGGGCTCTGCTACCCAGCCACAGCCCTGGTCTCTCATTCCTTGACCCTTGCTGTCCTAGGCTGGCTCTTTCCCAAGTTAGCTGTGTTTCCAGCCACATGTGGGGACTTCCACTGTCTTCTGTGGTTTGCTTGTCCACAGCCAAGGTCATGTCTCACCACAGACCGGAGCGACGTCTCCATCTATCTCACTCTTCTTGCTCACCAAGCCACTGTGTACCAGCCTCCTTGCTGTCCAAGGATGCGGCCATCACCTCCTCCTGCATCCTGCTGTCATCTCGGTCTTTCTGTTCTGGGCTGCCTCTCAAGTGGATACCTTGAGCTCCTCCCCCACCGCCCACAGCTGCTCTAAGAGCTCAAGCTTCATCTTCAGAGCTGGGAACCCCTTCTTAGGGCTTCTGTAGCCAGCCCTGAAAAAAGGGATCCCCCCACGTGACTACCCCAGTGTCCCTGCCTCTGATACCTGACCTGACATCTATAAAACGGTCGCTGATGAAGAGTGTAGTCATCACCAGGACACGGGCCCCACAACTGGCCTGAATCCAGAAATGGCCTGGGTTGCACCTGGCTCTGAGTCCCCTGCCAGGGGACACAGGTCCTGGTGGCAATGTAGCACGTGTGGTGATGTGGCCCTAGGGTGACTGAATGGGATGTTGTAGCAGCCAGACGCCGCCCCTCTCCAGAGCCCTGCGCCTGGCTCCGTGGCTCCTTCCCGCTCTCCACCGTTGCTATGTGCCTCTGCTTCTGCTGGCCGACTCTGGCCACTCTCAGACCAGGAACCGCTTGCCATTAACTTTTCCTGACAACCCAGGCCACCAACACCAGCTCAGCCTCATCAGAGACACAGTCACAAAACAGACTGGCTGCAATCTTCTCATTTGCCCACCGCACGAACCCACAACTCTCTCAAGTCAGCTCCTAGCCGAGCACCCAACCGTCTCCAGCTGTCCCTCATCGAAAATCTGGCTGCACCTGCTGGTTCTTCTGTTCCCTAGACACGGCCCGCCCTTTCCAATCCAAGTCTGAATCCTGTCCTTTCTCTCTGGGCAGCACTCAGCTGGCTTCCTGTGTGGCCTCTGAAGGCGTCTGTCCTTCTGTTGTCTTTACCAGGGTAGCTATCGTATCAGGTTCATGTAATCGGCAAGGGGGCCAGCGCTACACTCCAGGGAAGCGTGACTGTTGTCCCCACATCCCTAGACAGATGGTTCATCACCGAAAAGGCTAAGGCTTGGGGCCAGGCCCCAGCACCACACTAGCGGTGTGTTAAGGGACCGTGTGAGTTACTTAACCTCTCTGTACCCCCTTTGCTGCATCTGTAAAACAGGCTAACAGGAGTGAGTACCCAGGTCACAGAACTGCCAGAGTTAATGAGTCAGTAGGTCCTGTGTCTGGGACGAAGTGCTGTTTGTTAAACAGATGAAACACAGATGTGTGTCAACTGTGCTTTTTTTTTTTTTTTCTTCCTCCTCTCTGTCTCAAGCCAAAGAAGCGGCAGCTATGTCTGAGGCGCTCCTCCGATCCGACACACGAAAGAACCCACAGTTCACACTTGCACATCTGGGCTCTTCCAGGAGAGGGTGCTGTACAGGCCGATTTCGACTTGCACGGTGACTCAATGTGGTAGATGCTCCACAGACATCCACTGGGCGACGATACCTGTGGACTGGGAATTCTGTGAGAGAACACGTGGGCCTGTGAGGGGTGAGGAAAAAGAGCTAGGGAGGGGTGTGTGTGTGTGTGTGTGTGTGTGTGTGTGTGTGGTGTGGCAAGGGAGGTGTGGAGATTGAGAATCTGAATGTGCTTCCTTTGGGGTCTGTTGGTCCCCGAAGGAGAGACTCCCTGGAGGCCTTAGCTAGAAGCTGTAGACTGAGGACCAGGCTGGTGTGGAGGCCTGGAGCCACCAATGAATGGGCCTGGAATCATGGGACAGGCACAGGGCCAAGAGGACTGGGGTCAGACAGGTCACCTGGGTCTGGACCCAAGGTCTGGATCAAACAGCTCTGCTACGAGACCAGCGCTAAGTGTCTTCACTGCTCTGGGCCTTGCTCTCCTCATCTCAGTCCGGGATGATGTTGGACTGGCTGGTGGCTGTGAGGATGAGGATTCGTCAGGGAGACCTCCACTGCGGGTGTGACATGGGAGCAAATCCCAGGAGAGTGGCTCGTGACAGGAGTCCCTTGCGAGCTAACCAGCTGAGGAGGAAGCAGCAAAGAACAGCAGGCAGGGCCGCCCACTTAAAAGGACACTTAACTTAAAAAAGAAGAAGATGATGTCCCCAACTTACCCATGCGGAAGCAGAACACTTTCCAAGGCAACAGTGCCTTGAGAGGACCAACCACATCCTTCTGTTACACAACACTGCCTCCCCTGGCGCCCCGAGAGCTACAGACTTAGGAGACCCTCTTCTGCTGCAAGAGGGTCAAGGCTGTCACTCATCTTTCTGCCTGACCCTTTTGTCTTCAAATCAGAAAAGTCATTAACGGGGGAGGGAGTACCCCCCCCCCCTTATGTTGCTTCCTGTCAAGGATGTTGTCCTAACACGAAGAAAAGTAGCCAACCCTTTGGACCCAAGGGCGGAGCTCTGGAGTCCAGCAGATCTGGCAGTGCTGTATGGGACCTTGGGGGTGGGGGTGGGGACGTTGGCTCTAGCTAGCTAACACCACTCAGTCCCCGGTGCAATCTCAGGATCACACAGAACCTACCCTGGCATGGCAGTGTCGGCTCGGTACATACACGTTAACCAGTTCCCACACAAGCTAAAGCGAATAGCCTTCGGAACGTTCGCACTGGCTCAAGGCACGCCCACAGGTGTGAGGACAAAGCTCGCTCACTCTGCACCTTATCCGGTTAAGTCTCTTCCATGCTCAAGGCATTGTGCATGTCACTCAACGTGCTGCTGGCTATTTCCATATCAGCCAACAACAAGATTCCTACTTCCGGGGAAACGCCACGTTCACGCTCTCAGCAGGGCAGCACACCCCACCTTATCTTCCTGATGTCAGAGGGACCGAAGCCAGCGTCACTGACGCCTAACTTTGGGGTACAGTCCATGCTTGTACTGACGCACCGGCTCAAGTTTGTAACTCTACCTGGTGAAGGTGGTCTCAGAATAGGCGAGACAGGGGACAAAGCTGCAGCTACAAATGTGCCCGAGCGGAGGGGGTGTCGTGACTCCACCCACTCCCAGCCCCCTCCCTCCTGGGAATCTGTTCTGTTGGTCACCGCAACCATTCCTATGGGAGACAGACAGTGGACGCGATCGTGCATCCAACCTGCCTGAGTTAGGCTCGGGTTCCGGGGACCACGCGTTCAAGCGCGTTTACCACTCACCTGCTAGAATGCATTTGGCTGCTAGCTTCACCATAGCAACCCGGTACTAGCAGTGATGCGGGGCTGAACGCGGATTAGGATTCGGGGACAGCTGACCCCAGGGCCTGAGGCCGTGTTGGGTGGAGGCCCGGGCGCTAAGGTTGGGTGGACAGAGTGCCCCTAGGCTCCAAGCAGCCTTCAGGGGTGCCAGTCGGGCGGAGTGGAACCCGCTCCCGGCCCAGCCTTTCTGTCCAGGCCTTAGAGTTGGGTCACAACCACTAGACCCTCTGGTCCCAAGAGTCATGCCAAACGGGCTCCTGGCAACCCTCACCAACCCGCCTCCTCCCTCCATATTGTTCTTCGATTGGTTACTACCAAAGACTCGGCGCCTCCAGAGACCCAATAGAAAAAGGAGGCGGGAAAAAAACGTCTTTTTTCGCGGGACTGTGCGGAGCGGGTTCTGCTCTTTAACTGCTCTCAGCTCAGCCAATGGCTTCAGACGCTGTCAATCACCCCTGGCCGCCTCCTGGCGTCTATGGAGAATCAGCCCAACCAGGAGGTGGCTGGAGGCGGGAGTTAACAGGACTTTCTGATTGGCCAGGGCGTGGCTTGAACCACGGCGCAGAGTTCGGCACTCGCTGCACCCCCTTGTCTTCCTGGGAGTGGGTTCGCCCACGCGGGGCGGGGCGACGCCGCCGGAGCGGTGGCTGCGCAGTAGGGGAAGCCGCAGTCTCTGGAGTCCCGCGCCGATGCTTCCTTTCCCAGAACCCGGGTCCAACAGAGTACCCACAGATCTAACCCTTGTCTCACGTCCTGAACCAAATACCGTCTGTAAAGCCAAGCATGCCATGCGCTTAAAACCTGAGAAAGCGGGGAGGGAAGCTACGGGGTAGAAGTTAAAGTGTGGACGGAGAGGGAAGGCTCGGGAAGCTTTGCACAAAGGGCGACTCTTGACAGCACGCTTGCGGTGCATCTTCCGGAAGCGGGACGGGAGGAGGAATGGTCACAGGAGATGATAAGTATGGGTAGAGGACTTTGTCCCGGTGGAAACGTCATACAGTCTATGAAGATGTAAATACGTACACACTTGGGCTCCTGTGTATCAGTTAAGCTGAACTAAAATATGAAATCTAAAATAGGCGCAATTTGCAGGAATACCTGAAAGGATGAGCGGACACTCCCAACTTTGTTGAGTGAGTTTGTGCTTTCTTCTCTGTCCTCCCCCTCTGTTGTGGAGGAAAGGGTGCCATCCCGATGCTGCCCCTCACGAGAGAAGGGTGGGTAAATGCCTTCTGGCTTTCCCGAGAGCCCCTCTTGCTTTGTCACCAATTGGTGGGATATGGCTGGCCAAGTCACCTAACCTCAGACCTCTGCAATAGATAAAAACCATTTCATGGGACAAAGAAAGTAGGCAAGGGTCCGTACACTGGGGCTTTGCTACTGTGGCAAAACACCTGAGAGAAATAATTGAAAGGAGGAAAGGTTTAGTCTGGCCATTTGGTTGAACATCAACAAGCAGCCTAGAAGCATATAGCCACCTCGTGTTGGGAGAGGAAGAAGGAGCTTCAAGGATATGCCTTCAAAGATGCACTCTCCTTCCACTGGGTTCCATTTTTCAGGACCCGGTCGCCTCCCAGTAGCCCATCACATTAGGTGCCCATCAGTGACTGATGAGATCAGAGTTCCAGTGCTCTCTCATTTTCCCTAAAAGCCTTGATTCTAATCACTCCTGCTCTGGCAGCCAGGCTCTCAACACACAGATCTTTGGGGTGGGGGTGGGGGTGGGGAGTGGATCCACCCATCCCATTGGCCAGGTGGAGTTCCACCCTACTGCTTACCCCCTTTCACTGCGTCCCAGGATTCTGATGGCTAACATTTAGAGAGGGGCAGTGCCGGGGCTGCTTTATTTCTGTCTGGGCATTGTGTTGTTTCTCCAACTCCCCAAGGAGAGCGTTCCTACCCCAGGGCCTTTGCACTTAGTGGTCCTAGCATGTTGCAGGACTTTGCAGGACTTTGTCCCTCATGACCTTTTCAGATCACGGTCCCCGTGGCATGTCCCTAGCAGTTCATCCCTAGGCATTCCATTGAGGGACTCTCCCTCCACCTGGCAGCCTGTCACCTTGCCCAACTGTACTGTCTCCCTGCCACTGGCCACTGATGGAAAGGATGTGCCATGGTGCTTTGTAGAATTCTCCACTGGAAGGGCATCCTCACGAGAAGAGACGACATCTTTCAGCCATTGGCCTCTAGGACAGTCTCCAGCACGGTGAGCCACTCGACGGGTGTTTTTGAAGAGACAAATCTCACAGGGTTTCCACTTCCAGTAATATGGCAAGCACTGATTATTTATTCTTTATTGACTGTGGTATTAGGACTTGAATCCAGTGCTTCATGCCCACTAGGCAAGGGCTCCACTACCGAGCCACATCCCCAGCCAACAAGCACCTATTCTCGAGCACCAGATCTCACACAAGTAATATTGCCACTGGGAAGGGGGTGCAGCCATCACTCAGAGGGGGGTAGTAGTTTGGTCCTGCCTCCTCATTCTTCCCTGACTGCACTCCTAAGCTAGAGCTGAATTCACTACTGAAGAGGAAGGGTTAACGGTGCTGCTTCCAACACCGGAGCTGTGTCTGTGATGATGAAGGGGGAGGCTTGGCATGGAGGGCTCTGCTTGAGAGTGGATCATAGAGGCAGCTGCTGACAGACACATCGTTCCCAGGGACCATTGGATCAGTCTAGGGTCACGGGACTCCTGACAGCGTGGACAGCGGCATGCATGAACTGCAGTACAAAGCCAGTCAGTGACAGCTGCCAACACTGCAAAAGAGGAATGGGCTGCTCAGGCCCACTGTGTAGCCTAGCTTCCTCTGTCATCACACTGAGAACAGCCAAGGGTCCTCCTGTCTGCATGACGTTGGAGCCCATTTCCCGACATGGTTGTTGAGTACAAAACAGACCATTGGGAGACAGGATGAGCACGGAGGCGTACCTTTGTCTGCTTTAGACTGAGCCTTGGGAAGAATGGTTTCCAGGAACCAAGACTCATTCAGTCTGGTGCATGCAGGTCCAAGGCAGTGCTGAGCAGAAAGGGCCAGGACTTTGTGGGGGTCTTCTGGGGGCTGTAGATCAGGGCTTCTCCTGGGCACAACTGATATTTTAACATAGGGAGGTTTTTTGTTTGTTTGTTTGGAGTTAGGAGCTACCACGAGCTTTTCAAGATTTTTTTTTTTTCCTTCTTCCCCAGCATCTCTGACCCACTAGCTACCCAAACCATCACCCTCTGCAGACAACAACAAAATGTCTCCAGACACTGCCACATGTCCCCTTGGGGTCAAACTCCTCCATGGACAGAAACCGCTGAGGTTGAAAAGGCTACCGATTTAAAATGGAAATCCCAAGGTCTTTGGACCACACTCCCCAGGTCTGAATCTCTTTCTGCTTTGTCCCTCGAGTCCCAGCAGTTCAGTTGTTGCCCTACCTGTTCCCGTGACAGTACATGGATGTGCAGCAGGAAAACTCATAAACACCAGCTTTGATGTACAGCCTGGGACATGATGTGTCTCCCGGGGCGGGGGGGTGGGCGGGGGCTGCATAAGGCTGCAGCCGTGCTCAGCTTTACAATTGGCTGTAAGGCAAGGCACCACATCTGGTGTGAAGCTTCCTGCGGCAATGACCTTTGAGGTCTGTGTGCCTGCCACTCATGTGGTCCTACTTGTTTGTGTCTTTGCTGGTGCAGTGCTTGGCAGTGGACATCTCAATAAAGGGCAGAAGCTGCGGGACTGACTCACTTCCCCTGTGTTCTGAATGCAAAGTGGAAGAGCCAAGAGCTTCGTGCTGTGCCTGCCAGGCAGGCTGCCCTGTGCAGAATCGTCCAGCAGGGGGCACCAGTCGCTGGGGAAAATGACAGCCACAGGCAGGTGCCAAGGGCTCTTGGCTTCTCCTGGTCTTCAGGGCTTCTTTTATTTAAATGTTGAGCAAATGGCTTCTCCAGACTCACTCAAGGCTTCCTGTAACAACCCTTTGACAGCTCATCTGTGAAAGACAAGTGCTTCTCTTCTAGAACGTTCTATGTTCAGCGTGCCGTGTCCTTTCCTGGCTGGATGCAGGATTAGGAGGCTGGTGGTGGGTGGATAACTCAATTGGCTCTCCCTGGAGGCTCATGGCTTGGGCACACACTCCAGATCCTGCTCCCCCTCTGTGTTCTGTGCATAAAACTTGTGTTGCTGTGTTCAGAGGGCTCAAATAGCATAGATGGTTTAGTCTGACCATCTCCAACTCCACTGCAACAAAGTAAGCTGTTTTTTGTTTGTTTGTTTGTTTGTTTGTGCTTTTCTCTTCTTCTTCCTCCTCCTCCTCTTCCTCTTCTTTTTCTTTTTCCTCTTCTCTCTGTGATACCCTCACATCCCATAATGCCCTAAGGCTGAGGAACACACCATCCTGCCCAGACTGGCTGTTGCTCATTGCCTGCAACTTCTTGGACCCCATCTTAGCTTGTCCTTTGGCTTCCTAAAAGCTGCACAAGCCCCATTCTCTCCCTTTCTTAAAATCCACCGTTGACTTCCTCTGTCCCATTGCCACTCCACAGCCAGTGTCATCTTTAAACATCTTTAGGGGAAGTGAGATGGCTGGGAGGGTAAAGGCACTTGCTGCTGAGCCTGGTGATATTGAGTTTGATCCCTGGGATCCATAAGGTGGAAGGAGAGAGCCAGCCTCCTCTACAAGCTGATCTCTGACTTCCCTCCATGTGCCTCAGTGTTTTAGTCTCTGTCTGAGACTGTCAGCTTCTGGGGAACCAGCAGACTTGACCCTGCCTGTGCTGCCTCAGGGCCTTTGCCTGGTGTATCTTGATTTCCTTGACTGAAACACTACACACACACACACACACACACACACACACACACACACACACACACACACTGGCAGCTGGCAAAGTGTTAGGTCACCGGCTCCTCCTGCAGCAAGCACACAGGCTGCTGTTTCTCTAATGTGTTGAGGGCTCCCTGCTCCAGAAGTGCCAGTCCTCCAGGGCTCCGGCACCGCCTTTCTTCCCTAAATGCCACCCCGCTGAGCACAGCCTTTCTGCGATTGTCACACAGGAGGCCACTTTCATGGCTGGACAGGGGAGCACACACAAGAGTCCCTTGTTCCCTCCAACAACTGCCACGAAGGCCCAGCCTGACACTTCCCATTGTCCGAGATATGCATTGAAAGCTATAAAGTGCTGGGCAAAATCCAGAGATCTCTCCCTGCTGTCAGGATGGTCTTCATTCAGAGGTTAATTCCATGGCGCCTCCTCCAGGTAGCTTTGGAGTGTACCACCAACACCT